TGCCCTTCTTTGGACTTGCTCTAGCATCTCAGTGTGTTCTGTACTAAGGTGCACAAAACTGAACACAGTACTCGAGATGAGGCATCATCAGTGCCGAGTACAGGGGCAGGATATTTCCCTAGTCCTGCTCACCACATCGTTCCTGATACAAGCCAGGATGCCATTGGCCTCCTTGGCCACCTGGGCACACTGCTGGTTCATATTCAGCTGACTGTCCATCAGTACACCAAGGTCCCTTTCCATCAGGCAGCTTTCCAGCCACTCCTCCCTGTAGGAGCCTGTAGGGTTGCCTGGGGTTGCTGTGACCAAAATGCAGGACCCTACACTCGGCCCTATTGAAACTCATACAATTTATGTTGGCCCATTGATGCAGTCTATCCAGATCCCTCTATAGTGCTCTTCTCCCCTCAGGCAGATCAACGCTTCCTCCCAACTTGGTGTCATCTGCAAACTTACTGAGGGTGCACTCAATCCCATCAATAATCAAGATCATTAATAAAGAGGTTAAATAGAAGCAGTTCCAGTACTGAGCCCTGGGGGACACCACTCCTGACTGGCTGCCAACTGGATTTAACTCCATTGACCACGATTCTTTGGGCCCAGCAATCCAGTTTGTGTTTCTCCCAGCAGAGTGTTAGCCCATCCAAACTTTGTGCAGCCAGCTTCTCCACAAGGATGTTGTGGGGAACAGTGTCCAAGGCTTTACTGTCATCCAGGTAGACCACATTATCAGCCTTACCTTTATCCACTAAGCAGGTCACCTTGTCATAGAATGAAATCAGGTTTGTCAAACAGGATCTACCATTGATAAACCCATGCCGATCCTTTGGTTGACCTTTAATTGATTCATGATGGTTCCCGAAAATCAGTGCCCCATTTTTTTTACAATGATAAAGTTAACTCAGAAATGAAGTCAGGTTCTTAGAGATGCATTACGTTCCAATCACAAAGATTCCTAGCTTGTAATCTCTCAGAAACATATTTTGTAACAAAAGTAGCATTCAACCTACCAAGCAATCTGCAGATGTCGGAAGTGACTTCAACTTACAAACTTTTTGCCCAACTTTCTGACACATCTCCAACTACCTCTGCTAACTTGAAATTTGTCAAGATGTTCATTTAAGACTCACATCACCAGTTCTGGACTACATGAGCCTCCTAGACTAAGCTGTGATTCTCCTACTCACTGTTTATACAACAGAACATTTTTATCACTTCTCTGCCAAAGAACCACACACATACAAATGAGTCAGCAGCAGAAAAGTAAAACTTCTCTTTTGCTCTGTCAAGTAGGAAATAGATACCCCCACCAAAAAAATAAAATAAAAATAAAAATAAAAATAAATCTCCCATTTAATTTCAGGGGAAAAAAAAAGTCATGGTCAAATTCAGGAGAATATATCAGGTGAAGATAACAATTTGTTATTCCATTTTCCTCTGCATTGGATTATCCAGACTTCTGGTACTTACCTTAGTATCCTTATACAGGAACCCCTGATTTGCACTGTTAGAAATCCTTTCTGTCCTGATTCTACTGGTCTGACTTTGTCAACACTGAATGATCGGAAACTGCCTCTGAGTAGAGCTGTAAGATTGGTATCCCTAGGGCAATGAGTACCACTTCAAAGCAGGCACAGACCTCACCGTTACTTCTGAATGAGAACTTCAGCATCGACTCTCCATTCATTTGAAATACATCCTTAAATTAAGAATGTAGCAGATGTGGCAGACACAAATGTGATTCATCTCAGCTGAGCTCCATGTATGCAGATCAATTAAATGTCAGCTATTAGAATTCACACTGCAGAATATTAACTTCAAGGCACAGTGAATTCTGCTTTGCATATAGTGCTTAGAGAAGAGACAAAGACATCTAGTTCAAATTGAGCCTTAATGAAGCAAAAACTGCTTTTCTGAATGCAAATAAGAGCAAGCCACCTTTTACTTTGGGCAACTTACTATTTCCACATGAAATGGAGATAAGATGTCCCCTGAGCTAGTTATCCCAGAATTTCAGTTTCTCTTCAGGGTTTTGCTCAGATTTTACAGGAGTCTAAAGACAGCAAGCAGAACTACATCTCTAGCTTAGCTATGGGTCTGCTTGCTACTCTCTGAACCATTGTTGGGATTTAAACAGGAAGAAACAAGCAAAACTATTCTATCCTTAGATATCATTAGAATAATAGAATCACAGAATCATTAAGACTGGAAAATATCTCCAGGATCCAAGCATCCACCTACCACCAATATTTCCCCACTAATCGATGTTCCTCAATACAACATCTAAATGATTCCTGAACCCCTCTACCTCCCTGGGCAATCTATTCCAGCAGCTGACCACTCTATAGAAGAATAATTTTATCCTAATATCCAACCTGAATCTCCCCTGTGCAAACTGAGGCCATTCTCTCTAGTCCTATCACTAGGTATGCAGGAGAATAGGCTGACCATCCACCTCACCACAACTTCCTTTCAGGTAGTTGTAGAGAGCCTTAAGATGTCCCCTGAGCCTCCTCTTCTCCGGAATGAACAATCCAGTTCCCTCAGCCACTCCTTATAAGGTTTGTTCTCCAGACCCCTAACAAGCCTCACTGCTCTTCTCTGAACACACTCCAGGGCCTCAATGTATTTCTAGTAGTGAGGGACCCAAAACTGAACACAGTACTTGAGGTGCAGCCTCACCAGAGCTGAGTGAGGGGATACACTATTTCTGATACAAGCCAGGATGCCATTGGCCACCTGTGCACACTGCTGGCTCTTGTTTAGTCAAGCATCGACCAACAGCCCCAGATTCTTTCTTCCACACAGTCTTCCAGCCACTCTGTCCCAAGCCTGGGGTTGTTGCAGACAAAGTGCCAAAGTGCAGGCCCCAGAGCTTCTTGAACTTCATTCCACTGGCCTCAGCCCCATGATCCAGCCTGTCCAGATCCCTCTGAAGGGACTTCCTACCCTCAGGAAGATTGACACTTTCTCCCAAACTTAGTGTCATCTGCAGACTTACTACGGCTGCACTCGATGCCCTCATTCAGATCATCAATAAAGATACTGAAGAGGACAGGCTTCAGTACCAACCTCTGGGGAACACCACTTATGACCGGTTGCCAGCTGCATTTATCTCCATTCACCACAACTCTCTGGGCCCAACCCTCCAGTCAATTCTTTACCCAGCAAAGAGTGTACCTGTCCAAGCTACAGGTTGCTAGCTTCCCTGGGAGAATACTGTGAGAGACAGTGTCAAAGGCTCTGCTGAAGTCTAGGTAGACCACACCAACAGCCTTTCCCTCACCCACCAGAAGGGTCATTCATTCACAGAAGGAGATTAAGTTGTTCAACATGCCTTTTATGAACCCATGCTGGCTGAGCCTGATCCTCCCTGCACATGCCATGTGATCTCACTCAAGATGGTCTGCTCCATAAGCTTCCCCAGCACCGAGGTCAGGCTGTAGTTTCCCTGATCCTCCTTGTAGAAGAAAGTCACAGTGGTGAGCCTCCAATCCTCCGGGACCTCTCTGCTTGACCAGGAATGCTGTTATATGGTGAAAATCATCTCAGCCATCACCTCCGCCAACTCCCTCAGCAACCTCAAGTTACCTTCTGGTCACACTCCTTTTAATGCACTTCAGGATCCCAGTGGCCTTGTTGGTCACCTAGCCACATTGCTGATGCACTGATAACCTATAGTCCACCAGGACCCCCAGGTCCTTCTCCACAGAGCTTCTCTTCAGCAGGTCATTCCACAGTCTGTACTGACACATGTAGTTACTCCTTCCCAAGTGCAAGACTCTATATTTGCTTTTGTTAGGAAGCTCCACACAAATTTGTGAAGGAATTTTATCACAGTGAGTGTGAGGGAGCACTGGAACAGGTTGTTCAGGGAGGTTTTGGAATCTCCTTCTCTGGAGATACTCAAGATCTGCCTGGGCGCCTACCTCTGCAGCCTGGTCTAGGGAGCCTGCTTTGCAGGGGGGGTTGGACTCAATGATCTCTAGAGGTCCCCTCCAACCCCTACAATTCTGTGATTCTGTTATTCTTGTCCATTTTGAAGACTGGAGTGACACTGGCTATCTCCCAGTCTTGAGGTACCTCTCCTGTTCTCTAAGACCTGTGAAAGATAATAGATAGCAGTTCGGCAGTCATCTCTGCCAGCTCTTTCAGCACGTGTGGATGCATCACATCAAGGTCAATGGCTTTGTGCACACTGATCCCACAGCACCTGTGAGAGACTCACTTTTGAATACTGAGGAGAATTGTCATTATTACGTATTTCTTATTAAAGCATATGTGGCAGAAAACATTTTAAAAGAAATTATGTCAGTGTTATACTCCATATTGAAAAAAGATGTCTAATTCCAAATGGGAAACAGACACTCTGATTTCTCTATTATTTTTTTCTCCTAATTAGTCTCAGTATCTGTATGATAATGAAAAAAAAATGATAAAAAAATTAAAAAAAAAAAAAAGAAGACGAAGAAGAAGAAAGAAAGAAAGAAAAAGAGCATGCATTCCCAAAGGCAGCTAATTGAAAATTCCCTCCACCTCCCTGTCCTTATCCACTATCCCTTTCTCTTTCAGGAGGCAGGGTCTCATGGCGACCATGGCGAAAGAGGCATGGCATCCTCCCCAGCAGCCGCTGCTCACCATAGCAACCGGGACGTCAGCGCCGACCGCCAGCCACCGCAGCCGGCAGAGCGGTGGGGAAGAACCGGGGCACCCAGCGGCCACCCCGTCGGGGCCACGGGGCCGGGGCGGGAGCCGTGCCGCTGTCCGCGGTGCTGACGGGAGAGGCCGAGACGGGGCGGGGGAGGAGGGAACAGCGCGAGTCAGCAGCCAGCCCTGCAACACGTCGTTTTCCCTTAAAGTAAAGGGGCATAATAACCCACCCCTCCTTCTATTGGATTTGCAAGTGGCCGGGCACAGATGTGAACATACTGCGTGTTCTTCAATATGACTTCACTTGGGATTATAAAAGGAAGAAGGACGAGACCAGGACTTCTGGGATTATGCTTTGGAACAGGTACGTGTATCTATAGGTGCTATGCTGAGCAATGTTGTAGCTAAAGGAATAGCTATCCTTGTAAAGAAAGATGATCTTCTCCAGCGACTTACTTCATGTATATTTTCATACATGCTTTTAAAATCCATGGGTTTTAGCAAGGAGAGCTTTATTCAGGGATAAACACTCTGCAAGGCTTGAATGTTGAGGTGATTCTGTTGAAAGCAAAAGGGTGAGTAGAACTACTGCAGAATAAACGTCTTCATTTTCTATATAAATATATGCATTGTGTATCAACATTCAGTATTTTTATATGGGATTTATTTGCTTTCAAACAATCCCCTGACATGGACAGTATGATGAAAGAAAATAACTGAGAAGAAGCAGACCAGTCTGCCCATCTGTTACTCTCAGTTGCCAGATGCATTCATGCAGCTTCTTCTTTCCCCTTGAAATTGCACCATTGTAGCCACTTTTGTGTTTTTCTGCCATTAATTTTTAATTATCGCTTTTGAAAGAATTAAGTCCCTTCTTCTGTTTGGGTGCCTGGATGCATCTTCTTAGGAAAAAAAACACAGGTGCAGTAATCTTTGCTTATCTGTACCCAGCAGAGGCAAGAAGACGACTCCGTTTTTGCTAATTCAGGCAGATACTCTCTAAAAATGCATAGCAATATTTTTCATGTATCCAGATGACTTCTAGGATGACAAGCAATATGTTGGTTCCACAGAGTTAAAGAGAAGTAAAACTGCCTTCTACTTTCAAAAGGCCATTTGTTTGTATGAGGTAGGGTTCCAAGCCAGTTCTTTCTGGCAAGGATCTTTAACAGTGGTTCTCGAAAGGGTTGTCAGTAAATCACTCTTTCAGTGTATAATTACTGGGTTTTGGAATCTTGATTTGTGAGTTTATTTGAAATATACTGAAGTCAGGATGAGACAGTAAGGGAAGAAATTTCTGTACCTTTAATACATTTGGGGAGCTCTGCTCTTCAGCTCAGAGGGAGAGCTTGCAAACCCTCACACCTCCACAGTACTCCTGTGAAGCCTCTGCTTGTGAAGCTGTGCAGTGCAATTTCATCTGGGTTGCACCACATAATCTCATGTGATTTTTTCCTTTGGCAGTCCCACCAGGCATCTTCTCTCAGGTGTCCAGCAATTCAGTGTGACTCCCAATCAGAGAAATGTCAACCAGAGAATGCAGGATAAGCCTCAAGCAGAGCCCACTTCCCCTTCCTACCTCAACCTCAGTCTTCTCAGCAACAAAACTTGAAGCAGTATTTGTGTTTTTAAGATTTATCCATTACAACATCTTCCATCTCTCCCTACTTTCCTTTCAATTGGCAGCCAGAACAAGTCTTGCAGCTGGCACCCTGCCCAAGTAAGTGTCTCCAGTGCAGGGACTGCTTCTTCCTCAGTGGCTTAGTCTTCCCTGAGCTCAGCTCAGTCGGGACATCCCTTCCAACAACCATTTCTACACCAGGCATTTCCAACCTAACTGCAGGCTTTGCATGGCCTCCAGTTCCCTCCTGCTTCCTCAGAAAAGTCAGTATGAGAAGGCCATGAAAAGCTCTCACTAAACCATATCCTCTGACAGAGGCCATAGGAGCATCCTCCTACTGATTGTTTGGGACTTCTTCTTTTATTCCTATCACATAAGTCTTCATGAAATCATATTCAGGTCTCTGGCAGCTCTACCCCTGGCATTATTATTAGACACCAGTACCATCCTACTCTTCCGCTCTACACCTGGCACAAGTGACCCGTGTCACGTGAGCTCTAGATCTGTCTTACTGGAGAAGATACAGGATCATAAAGCAGACATTCATTCCAGACATGAAAGTTTGGACCAGTGCATAAATATTGTAACCATATTCACTGCATGAGTGCTGATAAAGCAACTTTTACAACTTAATGTCAAGAAATCATTCCTGTGTGAAATTTTTATGTAGAAGAAGAAAATATATATATTCTCCTAAGTAAATTGTCAGTGTGAGCTGAGCTGCTGTCACCCTCACATATGCTGCTGGCATGTTTTCCATGCGGGGGAGAGGAGGCTTGGTGGGGAGAGGATGAGAATTTCCAGGAGATAGGCAGAAAAATCAGCCAGGCATGAGATTCATCACAGCTCATCTGTCAACACCCACCATGAAAAACTAGTCCTGTAAGCATTGCATTCCTCACATCAAGCACAAGTGTGTGTTGTGCTTTGAACAGGGCCTGGTGTTGCCAAAAATGAGTGTACGAGTGTGGGAGAGTACACCTATTTTTTTTTACCTCTGAATCAGGGAAGGACAGCCTCATTCCCCACTGAAGAAAGCAGAGCCTGCAGAAGAATATTTCAAGCTTTTGTTGCACAACATCAGTAGGTGGAACCTGTTTTGAAAGCAGGGTTGGAAATTAGGTCAGCCCCCCTCCTCCTTGCTCCCAATCTTCCTGCCCCCCACAGTCACAATGGGCAAAGAGATATGGGTTCTGTCATCGTTTTTCAATCAGTATTCAGCTAAAGTTTTGGCTACTAGCCACAGCAGTAGGAGAGTAGAACAGAGCTTAGAGATTTTTAATATTCAGTGGATCTTCCTTTTGAGTAAGAAGAATTACGCCTAAAACAGAAGACCATAACCTTTTTTCTTGTTTGTATATCTTGGCACTGTCTTTAAGAGTCTCAGCCAATGCGCAGTACCTTGTAACTTGCACATGTTCTTCAACACTGAATGTTTACCAAACTCATGAGCCTCTGGGCCAAAACTCAAGGCCCAGCTCTGCAGCCAGAGGAGTTGCTTCAGATGTGAAGTGACATCCAGAAGCAACATGTGGACCCAGTTCCTGGCTGGTGAGTTTCTGCATGGCTCACCAATTACTAAGCCCAGTCAGCCACTTATTTTCCTCACACACATAGCAGAAAAATATTGTTGAGATTCATGCAGTAGCTGAAAACAACATACGGTAGTTATATGTGATGGAAATAAGGAATTCCTTTACTTGATTCCATCCCCATTTCCTACTCTCTCACCCTGCAGTATAGGCTAGGCAGCAGATATAAAATACAACAAGCAGACATAAAATATAGCAATGTGTGTCAGCTTACACTGTCAGTTCAGTTCAGAAGCTTTTACTGTACACCGGCTTACCCACACCTCCAGGCACACGACCTTTAGCTAACGATGCTGCTGAACAGGATTCTCTGCCAGCAGAGGGCAGAAGCAGGGGTGCGGACAGCGGTATATAAAATATGGGTTTGAATCTCAAAAGATGAATCTCAAAAGTCTTGTTCTCCTAATAGAAGAGAGACAGATGTTTTCTATCCCTGTGTACAGGAATGAAGAGAGTAAGAACATACTCAAGAGATTTCCAGGCTGTGCTCAGAAGAGCAGGTGGAGAATAGGAAAGCCTTCATAACAAGAGCAGGGTGAGGAGCTTCGAGTTTTTATGAATACTAGCACAGAGACAAGAACTGGCAGGGAATCTGCATGCTTTCAGAAGCATGTGCAGCCACATTCCTACCCTGGAAGCACAAGTACTGAATGGCCTCAAGATGCACACAGGCATCCCTATGCAGCAAGAGACAGTTACAGGTCAAAAGGCTCTGTGCTATTCTGTAAAAGGATTATTGCACTGAGACCCAGCACATGTAGCGTAGTTAATTTGAGTTAAGGCAAGAGTGAATGTCACCTCCTAGCATCTTATACCCAGACAAAAGCACCCCATCCTGATTCAATTTACTCCTGCTTCTCACATGGATTAAACTCCTTTAGATGGAGCATTCCTCTTGCAGTCTGGCAGCTACTCCCAAGAAATTCTTCTGAGAGGGGAGTTCATGGAGTAAAAGACCAACATAATGTCCTTCAAATAACTGTCTGGGCCTCAGCATGACCAGCATTTTGCAGTGATGATGCAGAGGACTTAAACACATTGGATAAAAAAGCCACTTTGCTATTTACTTAGCTATCTTTTGTTCCTAAAAAAAAAAAAAAAAAAAAAAAACAGTGACTGGGAAAAATATTTATTCTTTTGATTAAGCACTAAAAAAGACCATCTGTTGCATTCCTTTTTGAATCTTTTTAGGTTTTACTGCTCCAAATTGCAATGGAAATGACATTTCTAGACAGGACAGTAAACATGTAGTAACTATGCCATTTAGGTTTTATACAGCAGCACAGAAGATGTGGCAGTGATTTTATGTCATTCTTGTGGCTCAGGTACTTCTTCTCTGAGTAACAGACCTCTTCTGAAGAGTTAGCATTTCTTTCACTATCAACTCAAAGGCATATCCCTGGAAATGATGCATTTGGGCTTTCACATTACAAAGCAAGTCCATAAGGTAGGACATGCAGTACCAGGAAATCCCTCTTTGATGATAATGAAAATTTCCTTATACCCTATTGATTTCCACATAAATCTACAAAGCTTCAGATTTTAAACAAAAACATAGGAAGTCCTCATATCAATATTAAGAGGATTCTTACTCCAAAATATTTAGAACAAAAGAGTGAGAATTTTGGTATAGCTGCATCAGTGCAGATTCTCAACTAGTAAAAGTGTAATTTAACTCAGATTTATGTTGTTTTTATTTAAATGGAAAAACAAGCAGAAGTATTTTTAAAATAAACAAAAATGTCATTAGGCCTTATGTATTTATGTAATTTTTACTTTTTTGTGTGTCCAATACCTGCTTACTGACAAAGAAGGCAGAGGGAAAATAAAGAGCTCAGTGCCGTTTTTCATACATGCAAGTTTGACAGTTCATTGACACTTAATTGCATTTTAGTTAGCAAAGCAGCAAAAAGGGGCATGAGAATTGCAGCTGGATATTTCTGAGTGGCAGATACCTTTGCATGTCAAGAAGGGAAATTAAGGAAGAATATAATAGTTCTTTTATATCTGGCTAATAGGCTCCACATGTATTATTCTATTACAGATCATTCCAGCATGCAATTCAGCAGGTTGTGCTGACAGTGCATCCTGCCACTCTGCCAAAGAAAGCACCCTATTACCCTGCAGACTGTTGGCAAAGGCAGGATATCTCCAGGAGAACACTAGATGGAGAGGGGGAAAGGGGTTACTTCAGGAACCAGGACTCTTCTGCCAGGAAAATCTACTAAGAAAACATTTAGGTAAGGCAGGTAAGGATGAGGGAGAAGCAGAGGCCAGACTGGGCAGCATGAGAAAGGACGAGGGGCAGGGTATCTCCTGAAGGCTGAGGTCCCTTCCAGACAGCTGACACGCACTTCTTGGTCTCTGGATGTCCTCTCCTTGTATCCCCAACTGTTTTTGAAAAGAGGGACTCGCATAACATTCCTGAAACAACACTGGCAGTTATCAGCCTTAGACCGCTTCAGCTAAACTTAATATGAGATGTTTGCAGTTTAGATGAACACAAAAGCTGCTCAATAAGGCTAGCTTCTCTGTGAGTAGTGTTGGTGACTCATGCACTGACCCACTTTCTGGTTCCCAGCCAGCAGCCAAGCATGTTGTGGGGCTGATGCTGTGGGGCCAAGACTTGGAGATGACACAGCAGGTTCCTGTCACAGCCCAGCTGTTCTGCGCAGAGTGGCTGCATCTATGCAGATGTGCCATGCACACAGTGTTTCGTTAAGATCAGCTGGTGAACACTAAGTCTAAATAGCTCAAGGAAAACATCTTCTGTAATCACATCAAACAATTAGTACATCTTTTCCTCTTCCACATCTGGCTATTTTTTTATTGTGTTCTTGAAGACTCATTTGGTAGCTTTGTGCTTACAGAAAGTAGTTGGTGTAAAGCTAGATAAAGGCAGAGAAAAAAAAAACGTCAGAAAAACACTGGATAAAACCTCAGAAAGCAAATCTGCTGATCTGGATCACTTGAAATCTCAGGGAAGACTGTGGTGGTTTTTGACTTTCTCATTTGGCTTCTGGGATGAACTGTTTTTTTTTTTGCTAACAGATTAATCCTGATATATCTGAGTTAGTACAAAGTCTCTAGAGCTAAAGACTCTCATATTGTAACCACAGGAACAGAACTTCCATTTCTAATGAGAAGAAGGTTTTGCAGTTCACCTGGAATTGGATTGAATGGACATTTTTCAGAGCATCAGGCAAGATGTCCATACATGCACAGTCAGCAGTACAACATGTTCTGCCATTTAATGCTTGTGAAGTTTAAGACAATCTATGGGAAACATAGTGATTATTGCTATATTAGAAAATCTTGTAATATATTTCTGACTATTTCTCTGAAATTCACATATTCAATTTAAAATTATTATTCATTGATTAAAGTAAGTTTTCACAAATACTTATAACATTTTGTCTTCATTTATACAGAGCCCAAGCAGGAGACATGACTGTCATGTTTGACCATAGTACGGACAACAACAACGTTTCTTTTGTTCTCCCTACATTATTGCTTCTGCTGCAGAACAAAAGCTACCCCAAGACCTCCCTTCCTGCAGCTGACCATGAGATGACAGAGTCACCCCAGGAGCCCAGGCCAAGCAAGAACCGCACTGTCTTGCAGTATGAGTTGAAGCCAGGGGAAATTGTATCAGCCAGCATGGTTTTTGGAGTACTGTGGATAATTTCCATCTTTGGAAACTCCCTCGTTTGCTTAGTGATCCACAGGAGCAGGAGGACGCAATCAACCACCAACTATTTTGTTGTCTCCATGGCTTGTGCAGATCTTCTCATCAGTGTTGGAAGTGCACCATTTGTGCTGCTTCAGTTTACAGCAGGCAGGTGGACACTGGGGAATGTGATGTGCAAACTGGTAAGGTATATTCAGTATTTCACTCCTGGAGTCCAGATATATGTGCTCCTCTCCATATGTGTGGATCGATTCTACACTATTGTCTACCCACTGAGCTTCAAGGTGTCAAGAGAGAAAGCCAAGAAAATGATTGTAGCAGCTTGGATCTTTGATCTTGCATTTACATCACCCATTTTCTTTTTCTATGGCTCCAATGAGGATGACCATTGCAACTTTTTTCTCCCAGGTTCTTGGGAAGGAGCCATCTACAGTATTATCCATCTCTTGGTGGTGTTTTTGACCCCATCCATCCTCATTATCCTATTCTACCAAAAGGTCATTAAGTACATTTGGAGAATAGGCACTGATGGCAGGACTGTTAGAAGAACAATGAATATTGTCCCAAGAACGAAAGTGAAAACAATCAAGATGTTCTTAATGTTAAATTTAGTGTTTCTCCTGTCCTGGCTCCCATTTTATGTGATACAACTGTGGCACCCAGAGGAAACAGACTACAGGAAAAGTTCCTTGATTTTCATGGCTGTCACATGGATCTCTTTCAGTTCTTCAGCTTCTAAGCCAACCCTGTACTCAGTGTATAATGCAAACTTCAGAAGAGGGATGAAAGAAACGTTTTGCATGTCCTCCATGAAATGCTACAGAAGCAATGCATACACCATCACCACCAGCTCAAGGATAGCAAAAAAAAATTATGTCGGGATCTCAGAAATCCCAGCACCAGCCAAAACTGTAACCAAAGACTCAATCTATCATTCATTTAACAGAGAAGCAAAAGAAAAAAAGCTTGCCTGGCCTATTCATTCAAATCCTCCAAATACATTTGTCTAATTGGCTTAATACATTTGAATGGTGATTATGTACCATCAGAGCAAAAAACTTGATCTCCTTTTTGAACCAATGTAAACACACTTGTTTTTACAACAACTTTTAGAGAGAGAGAGAAAAAAAAAAAGATATTTTATTAAATGCATTGATTTTGATGTATCTAGTCTATGTAATTTCAGCTACATTTTTCTTCTGTAAGTACTCTCCCTGAATCACAAGCATATTTGCTTTTTTACAAAAAAAGCAAAGCTCTTGCATTTTCTGTTTGTAGGGATAAAAGGGAGAAAAAATACCACTGCATTTTTAATCACTGTACATTGGCCACCATGTTTAAATATAAAAATACACCCAAAGACATCTCTACAGCCTTTTGTTATGCCCCTAAGAATATTGTTGCACTAGGGTTTTCCTTCTTGTTCAGACCCCATGGCTAAGATTTTTGTATGTGGTAATGCTGGCAAAACACTGAGCAGATTGAATTCAGCTATAAAATTTCCACTGCCTCTGTAGAGTCAGCACTGAGTGCTTTTGCATACTCAGTGTTGCACTTCTAGAGAGATCTAGTGGTAGAAGCAGCTTGAGAAAAGTCCTACCCCATGTATTACCCTCCCCAACTCCTCTCTAGCCGTGTCTACACCCACACTGATGTGCCTGATGAGCAGCCACAGCAGAAGAGGAGCAGCATCACCTGATCTGACCTCACCACCAAAAGTCCCTAGGCAATGGCAAAATGCAGTGGGAAGCTCCAAAGTTACTTCCCCAGTGCTCAGCAGCTGGTTTGGAACCAAAATGCAAAGAACAAAATTCCTAAGCCAGCCTAGGAGGTGCTTGGCTAATTGTGCAGCTTGAGCATCTTGAGCTAAAAAAAAGGGGACACATATACACCGTGGACATGTATACCATGAATTCATTCATCCTTGATATTTACTTTTGACATTTGCTTAATCTGAGATACAGATCCACTCTTCCCATTAGGATTAGGTAACACCACTCTCAGTTATCTGCTAAGATTTACAAGACTGGATCATTAAATCCACAGGAGAATGAAGAGGGGTGTATTTTTTAAAACCAGTCTGAAATGGGCAGCCTTTACATCATGCTGTTATCAAACCCATTAAGAAGAACTGGAAAGAGCCTGCGTGTTTGATATTGATTTATTTTCCTAATTCCTCTTCTACTGCCCAAAACTACAGCAACGCACTCAGAAAACATCATAGATAACAAAATAAGGTCAGCACAAACAGCATTTGGTGAATTCCCCTCACTCTGATGGATCAGTGTATGCACTTTACCTCAGCCTGGAAAGTTCCTGTGTTGTCTTATAACATGAACAAGAGATTCTTGCTGGCTTCAGACCAGCAGTCCTGTTATTTCTTTTCCACACCAAAGATTTTCATCCTACTATTATTTCCAACGCAGAAACTGCTTCAGACTAGGCTCTGCTTGGATCATCATAATGTACCAGCCAGGGTACGGCCCAGTATCTTAAAGATCAGATTACCAACATGCATTTCAAAATCAGGTCATCCCAAAAGCATTGTGGGTTCTTTGACCTTAGGCGTTCAACTAGGCAGAAGCCAGCTACGGGGCAGAAAATAACATGCAAACATCAGATATCCCCCTTCACACACCCTATTTCAGAATCTCCATCTTTGAAAGATGCAACCTCAGTCACAAACTCTTCAGAGAATAATTCTTTTTCTTCTGATTTCAGAGCAAATGTAGCACAACCTGAGGCCTGAAAGTCCTGCAGTAACAAAAGATAATAGAACAAGAGCAGTAAGTACTAAGGGTATATTAACCACAGTCATGCATCTCCCCTTCCGATCAGCAGAGAGCAGAAGCGCATGTATTGTTCAACCCCGGGTGACAGAAGTGGCCTGGATGGACTGTAGTGCTGGAATACTGTGTAGGGAAACTCCTTTGTTGAGTAATATTCCTGCATGTATTTTAGACATTTTCCTTCCCCCTACTCTACCACGCTAAGTGTGGCTATAAGAACCCTTACTGCTTGTGGGAACATTTCCTGTATGTGTTTCACAAATTCAGAAATCCCCATTAAATGAAGATTAGACATTTCTCATCAAAGTCGTTAGCAAAAATCCCCATGTTCTAGGAGAGGAGAGGGCCTTAAAAATGAGACCATTTTATTCCACGTGGTTCATTTTTCCAGGCAAATTTTTTCTCCCTGAGATAGCAGCATGTGCTGATAAGGAGCAGGGCTCAGATCATTGCCGCCCTGTGCAGGGGCTGCTGCCTCAGACTTTCTGCAGTAAAAAAAGGGAGGAAGAGATGAAACCCACCTCTGAGATGCCAAAACCTCCCTTGAGACAAAAAGTCTGGCAGACATCATTTTGAATATGAAACTAGAGGAATGCTTAGGTGTGAAGCCAGAGACTTTCATATAACTGCTCCTCTTCCGAACTTGAACTATTTCCCCACCTTCCAGAAGCTGTAAAGAAGCTAGAGGAGCAGTGATGTGCCTGAACATCAGGTACGCATGCTCACATGGAACCCCTTCCTCTCCCTGTCCTACCAGCCCTGCACATTCTTGCCAACCCTTGTCCTCTTGATGTGCTAGGAGCACCGTGCCCCAGACAAGGCTGCCTCCACACTCCTGGCAGCTCCCATCCTCCTTAGGCAGGCCACAGGTAGCTTTGTGCCACTGCCATAGGAGCTAAACATGGCATTGTGCTGTAGCAGGGCTGAAGATGGAAAATACTTGGCAGCTTGATAGATGCTGACTTTGTGCCAGCACAAGAAGAAACCTTTTCCACATCTTATTTTTATATTTTATTTCTATTTTTAAAGCATTATTTTATTGGCTTGGTAACACCAGACATCATGTATCACTTAGTCTGCCAATGCCCCAGGAGTTCCAGAGACTCAGGAGGGAGATCATGCATTAACCAAACAAGAAATGGAAAATGCACTGAGATTTGATCAGTATGTATCTGTCTATCTAGATGTCTAGATATCTATATCTAGAAATCTTTCCACACTTCTTCAAAATTCCTTACTACCAACAGCTGCTTTGCCAATAGCATAACAATAAAATTACTAAAGAGTGAGAGAACTTTAAGACTAAACCAAGCCATCCTATTCAGATAAGGGGACCTTCAAAGAACGTTCTTCGATGGGGAAATGGCCAGGTACTGCCACTGGATCTTCATGCTGCTCTGGAGGCAGATGCTCCCATGCTCCAGGTGAGACTGGAAGGTCTGGTCAGTGTGCAGACACTTTACCTGTGGGTACCTGTGTGTGCCTTAGCAAATGTGTTTAGTGAGAAGGAGAGGAGTCAGAATACACAGGCTGAAGCCAGCAGAATTTATTGTACCAAGCTTGACAACTAGCAAACCAAACTGCCTCATTTCACAAATATACCTCAATCATGTCTTCAAAGTAGCAGCTATGGGAGAAAGAAAGGACTTCTGGATTTCTAGCCCATCCAACATTTATTCTTAAGAGTTTTCTGTGCAAGAATATGGCCAGTGCCAACCACTAAACACTTTCTTCCATTAAGTGGACACCCATCAGGTGAAAATTCTGTCATCACCATTAACTTTTGATATTAACTATGTCATCCTTACAAATCATCAGATTGTGGCCCTCCATTTTATTTCAGGAAAAAGTTTTATTTTCTATTGAATGCATTTTAAAAATGTGCAGCTTGGGAGTGGAAGGCAGTGAGAAACAGAGGCACATACCACTTGGAACTTTTTCAACCAGCATCCCAGAGGTGATAGCAAAGTGGCGGTTACTCATAATTACACCTGAAAGTATTCATATGTCTGGTTAAGAATCTTCTGTATTCGTCATTCTCCTCACCTCAATCAGCTTCACATCACAGTTAACTGACATTGACTTAGGAGTTGTTTTTCTGAAGTGCCAAATGCATGCCATCAATTGCAGCTGAAATTCTGAGTGCTCAGCCTTTCAGAATATCAGAACCTTTGAGTTCAAACGAAGTAGATTTGAAGTATATTAAATCCAGATCTGTACAGTTAGAGGAAGGGTTATTAGTTCCTTAAGTGATTCTGTAAGTTAATATACCTTTACTAGTTGGCTCTTTACAACCTCACAAGTATTATGGAATAGGCCATTATAAATTACAGGAGATTTATTTGAACTGACTTCTAGTAAAACGTAACAAACCTACTGAAAGATTGTTACATAAATGTCACCTTCTGGCAAGCAGTTTGAACTAAAACATGGTTTTATTCTACACTATTGCTAATACACAAGTCTTCTTTCAGTCTTCTCACAAAACTGGCCTCTGGATAAAATTCAGAAGAGGCACAGACAGCACTAACTCCTTTGCATTCAGAATCTCAGGCATTTTAGACCAGCTCTTGTTTTGGTCCTATATTTGCAAGGAAAGGGGGAAAAAAGAGAGAAAATAAAGACTACATCACTAAACAATTTCATTTATCCTCACCTCATGCCCAGCCAGACACTAGCCTTACACTGCATGTGTAAGTGTGAGTAAGACAGGAGTTATTCTCATTTCTTTCTTTGGGAAAGTGAGGGGGGATAGTCAGGAAATTCATCTTTCTTAAAGTTTTGTAGAATTCGACACATTAAGCAGCAGAGGTTGCAAATGAATGGCTCTAAGTATCTACTTTATTTCCACTGACACTACAGCACTGATCACAGATTTCAGTTCAATTCTGTACATTAATCATCTCCACTGCAACACATACTCTTCAAAGTCCCTCCCCATATTGATCCAAATACAGTAACTACAGCAATTAAGTGATATTCAGAGTTATCAAGACTTCAGATTATTTACAAGTTACCTGTCTATGCAGCAGGAGCAGCATCAAGTTTGCTATCTTGCAACACCACTGGGAGTGGATTTGCTGTGTGGGTTTCTGCAGAGTCCGAAACAGCTCTCGACACATCGTTGGACTGGTCTTTCCTACTAACCCAGCGGATCCATCTTTGAATTAAGTATTGGGTTTTTACATATTTTTCTTGAAGAAGAGGGATGTTGTCGACAT